CCCGCACGCTCGCGGCGCGCGCCGGGCCGCCAGACTCGGCCTGTGGGCGATTTCCTCCGGACCCCGGCTCCCCGCCCGAGGAGGAAGATGCAGACCTTTCTGAAAGGGAAGAGAGTTGGCTACTGGCTGAGCGAGAAGAAAATCAAGAAGCTGAATTTCCAGGCCTTCGCCGAGCTGTGCAGGTAAGGGGGGGACGGCGCCCCGGCGCCCGGGGACCCCCCGGCCTGAGCCCGGCTCAGCCCCAGCGCCTGGCTTGGGAGCTTAGAGCGAGACGGCAGAGAGCGGCGCGCGGGGACCCTGAGTCCGAGGAGCCAGGTGGCTGTGGTGGCCGCCCGCTGTGTGCGAGGGGAGCGGTGGCCGGAATGGGCGGTGTGTGTGGCACGGACCCCGGCTCTCAGGTGCGCTGTGACCCGGGTGGGGAAGCCCCCAGCCGCCCAGGACGCGGCGGGAGCGCGGCTGAAGGTGGCGGAGGGAGCTGGGAAATCCGAGACCTACGCTTTCTGCCTGTGGCTGGAGGTTACTTTTGGACTCGAGTGTTTTTTTTTCTTCTTTCCTTTCGTTCCCCACCCCCCGCCCCTTCGTGGAGGACACCAGTGTTTTCATGTTCGCAGACCACCTTCTACGTGCCCCGAGTGTGCAGCTCTTGAAGCTGTCATTGCGTGTCACTAGGTTAAGCCGATGTGAAGCGAGTAGCAATCCTCGGCACGTATGAGGTGATTTGCTGTCTCATTAGAGCCTCGCGCCAGCCTTGAGAATCCGCCGGGGTGGTGATTCTGGGCCACGTGTCTGAGAAGGGGGATCGATCTGCAGAGAGATGGGGGTACTAGCCTGGGTCCCAGAGCTAGGGAGTGGCTGGTGCAGAGGAGGTGCTAGGTAAACGCATGTGGTGTGGGATGGCCTTCCTCTGTGTGGCGCTCTCCCCGCCCCCCGCCGCCCCGTGTTGGTGCCCAATGGTGGAGACTGGGGGTGTTTCAATAAGATCGTATTCTTAATCCATTACAGGAACATCCAGTGTTGGGTCAGGTGTGCCTCTCCGTGCTTCACAGCTGTGGCTTTACCTTTGAGAAGCTGAGTTAAATCCTGTTCTTAATGAAAGCCTGAGTGAGAGTCAGGCTCCCCAAGCCTTTTGCGAACTCTAGGTGGAAACCTTTTGTTATGCAGTGCCTCTGCTTGGTAGATCTGATTCTTGAAAATGGGCCCCACTTGCATTTTTTGTCCCTGTTGGGTCCCCAGACATCAGGAGAATTGAACAATTGGGTTTCCTTATCTCCTGGTGTGAGGAGCAAGTGGCCAGTCTGATCTGGCCTGTGCAGTCTGGGCTGGCAGCACCTCTGTGCCCCTCGTGTCTGTCCCAAGGGCCTGCTGCTCCCTTCGCCCCATGCAAGCCCTGAAGGCGCTCTTCTTCCAGCAGCCAGAGGGGTGCACCCTGCACGGAACAGCTCCTGGGTCTGCGTCCTTGGTCTGGGGATGGAGTTGGCTGCCTTCTCTCAGCCGCCATCCCCAGGAGAAAGCAAGCTTTCCAGGGTCAGCGGGGCATGCCGAATTCATGAGGGAGTCAGAAGCTCGAAGCCAGAGCTTTCAAGATGGGTCCGAGGACTTTTGAAACATTAAAAAAGGGCACTTGAACATCGTACCGCAGATACACATACTTGTGGGAAATGTTTCCTAAACACTGAAGAAATGTGGAGAAGCCCACTGACTGAAGCCTAGTGCTGGCGTGGGGTGCCGGAGCCCCCCGCAGTCCTCTGAGACTTGGGAAATCCCAGTTGAGACCTCGCACTGTTTCTACTGAGATAAGGCTTATTTGTGTCATCCTGTGTCTGCAGCTAAAGCAGGCGGCTTGTCATCTGGTTGGTATGTTTCGCTAGGTAATTAGGAGGCTCTCATAAAACAGTTCCAGCCGAGACTGAGACCGTCACTGTTGGCTGAGTCCTCTTGCGGGACTTGAAGATTTGCTTGCCATCCCTGTGGACTCCCCCACCTTTAAGCAGAGGCTTCAGGGCAAGCTGTGATGTCAACCATTCTGAGGGGAATCCAGGGTGGAGTATTAAATCTCTGTGAAAGAGTTGCCCTCAAAAGTTGTGTTGCCTTCTTCCAGCCAAAATAATGGTTTAGAAGAGAAGAAAGAAAGCATCTAGGTCATTCTAGACTCTCAAGAAGCCCACTTTGTGTTTCCATTAGAGAAGCTTTAGATATTTTGTCACTTAAGTTGAAGAGGGAAAAAGAAAACACAAAATAGTTTTTTCCTGATTCTTCTCTCCTTTATTATTTTCGGAGCAGCACCCCCTGGTGGCCACATTTCTACACTCGGTGCAAAATGCTCCCACCCTTGAGAAGGTGGCTTCAGCCCTTGGCTGTTGTGTTTGGTGGGAAAGCTGGTGCGATTTTGATAGCTCAGGAGGTGATATGGATGGACATTGTCATGTTTTCCCCATTGACAGTCTGGAGGCGCCGCACTCCTGTTTTGATGGATGATGAACTGTCTGTGAATTTCCCAAAGAAAAAGTCCAGGGATGTTTGGAAATGACTTGAGGCTCATGTTTTGGGCAGTGTCAGCCCCAGAGAGGCTGACCAGAGTGGACCGGGATGCGTTGTTTAGTTGAATGTCAGGCCTTGTGAAGTCTTCAGGCAGGAGGGGATGTTGGAGATCATCTCTTCGAGCCTTTGTTTTACAGATGGGGAAGCAGGCATGAGAGAGCAGGCAGGTTGCATACGTTTGTTCTTTTTGTTTAACTTACAGAGTGGATCCAGCCTGGCGACTTTGAGACCCAGAAAGTCAGCCCTTTCTCCTTGGGCATCTCTGACAGTAAGGTGGATCCCCTCGTTACCTTCACAGGGGTCTAGCTAATGCCACCACTTTGTCCCAGGGACACACTTGCTTGCAAAGCTGACTTGTGCTCTTCGCAGTGGTAACGCCTTGTTTTCTGAGGGGCATCGCACGTTGCTGTCATCAGTAGGTGTTTGGAGCCAGGTCCTGCTGGGATCCCTTAGGTAGACATAAGGACAAACCAGCCCTTCAGAGCCTTAGTGCACCCTGCTCGGCGGGCGCTCTGGCCTTCGACTCAGCTTGTTTTTTAGCGGTGCTGTGTGTTCCTGTCACTCTCCTGTTCCTGTCTACTGGAGGACCTGGCTTGTTCTCTTTTACCCCCATCCCCTTCCCCTTCCCTCCCCCTAACACTGGAGCAGCCACGCAGCTCCCTCATACCCTCATACCCTCCAAGGTGCTCAGGAGGGATACACTGGAGCAGCCACGCAGCTCCCTCATACCCTCCTTGTGGTTCTTTCAAGGTGCTCAGAAGGGGTGTCAGAGGCAGAGCAAAGAAATAAAGCTATTGGTTGGAAATGTTGGGTCATTTTTAATGGTTTTAGTTCTGCACAGTGCCCTGCTTGGAACTGCTGGCTGACCCCAGTTCTCTTTGTTAGTATTTTCTGTGTCTCTCCTCCAACCCCTTCTCAACTTCCCACTCTTCTCTTTCCTGTGGCCGAACCTGTGGTGAAAAGGCACGTGACTTTATGAAGCATTCTGCTATAAAATGCTCTACTATCCGTCTTTGCTGTAATATTTGCGGACTTTTTAATGGGGCTCTTCCAGTTACCTCATCTCACTTCATCCTCCTAGCAGCCCAGGGGTGGAGAGATGGGGAAACTGAGGCTCGGGGCATATAAAGGACTTGCACAGCCAGTTGGGTTTCACTGAGGCCAGTCCTGAGGCCCGGGCACCTGAGACCAAGGCTTCCTCGTTTAAGTGTCTTTTTTTTTTTGCCCAGGTTGGCCCAGCACTTCCTGGAGCCTCTGAAAGCAGAACGTCTGTGGGCTATCGTCCTTGAGACACTTGGCGGCCAGCTGGGCTGACTCGCTTGCAGGAAATATGTTTATGGTGCAGTCTCAGACCATGTTATCAACGCAGGCTTTCCTGCGGGGGACCCTTCGTACAGGTCCCCCAGAAGGAACGAAGCCGGGCAGTCCATGGTGGCTCTAGCTCACTGAGCGCCTTCCAGGCGTGGTGTCAGGCAGTGGGCTGGTGGTGGTGGGGGACAGTGGGCGGAGCCCCTGCCTTCCCAGACCTGGGAGTGTGGTGTTAACAGTAACTAATGTGGCACAGGAAGTGTGCTAGGGACCTTAGGGGCTGCTGTCCCTTCCCCTTGGGACTTACAGTTCTTCCTTCAAAAGGGGGTGTGGGATGGTCTTTTTCTGCCGGGGTGGCTTACATTCTAAGCTGGAACTCTCAGGAGATTCCTAGGGGGGGAGGCAGGAGGATCTTTTCCAGGATTAAGTGATGCTGGCTTGTGGGTGGGTATTTTTCTGTATGTCTTAACGTCTAGATTTAGCACTATTTTGGAGGTGAGGTGGGAGGAGGTGATGACTTAGGTTTCCTTCACAGCTGACTATCTGTAACCCAGCCTCGCAAATAAACACTTCCCACCAGCCCCCACGGGAGTAAGGAGAAGACGTGGGAAAAGACGTCCATCTGGTCACTGCTGTCTCCTGATGAGACTGCCTGGGTCCCAGGCCTGGCTCCACCTGTGACCCTGGGCACATAACTCCGTGCCTCAGTTTCCTCATCTGTAAAGTGAGGATAATAACTGCTTAGTTTCGAGATTGTCGTCTGCCTTGAAGGAGTCAGTGTGCTGGGCGTGTATAGTGCCTGGGACTCTAAAATGTGGCTGCTGCTGTTTTTCGTGGTTGCTGTGTGTGGGGAGCAGGTGAATTCTGCCCACAACGCCTCTGTTCCGGGGTCTTTGGCCTTTGCAGGTTATTGTTCTTGATTCGCATGGCGCCTGAGTGAGCCTGAAGTCCACGATGAATGCTAACATCTTCCCGCAGCGGCGTGGGCAGGCACTGCTAGGGAGGGGCCGCCCTGCCCACCGGCCTCCCAGCGTCCTGTGCTCTCCCTTAGCTGGAGGCCCAGTGGATCTTACAGCCCCTCGGGAGGTGGGGGTGCTGTCCGAACCTATTTCATGGCTGTGGAAGCTGAGCAAAACGTGTTAATGCAAGGTGCTGCTTTCGAAGACTCAAGAAGAGTTTGTTGGCCTTCCTGAAAATGCCAAGAGTCACCATGAGCAATTATGTTACTATTGTTAACTAACAATTACTGTTTTATAGTTTAGACTATTTAATACATGTCCATGTTAAAAAATCAGAGGACTCAGAGTACACAATGAAAAGTCAGTTTCCTTCTTGT